CATCTTTAATCCTCAGAGCAACTCTGCCAGTGTAGACAAAACTACCCCTCATTTTATTCATTAAAAAAGGCTGTTTCAGAGAACTTGACCATCCCACCCAAAACCGTCCTGCTAGCGAGTAGCAGAGCCAGAACTCAAAGTCAGTCCCCTCTGACACTTGAATTCAATCCTCTTAAGACTGTCCAAGAGGCAGGATGTTCCTGGAGGAAAGTGGTGTTGGATTATTTGTCCCAAACGTCTTTCTTCTCAGAATCCGAGAGGGTTTAAAAAAATACTTGTTTGGGGGCCGGCCCGGGGGCAAAGCGGTTAAGTGCACACATTCTGCTTCGGCGGCCCGGAGTTCCCCGGTTCGGATGTCCGGTGCAGACATGGTACCGCTTGGTGTGCCATGCTGCGGTAGGCATCCCACGATAAAAAGTAGAGGAAGATGGGCACGGATGTTAGCTCAGGGACAGTCTTCCTCAGCACAAAGAGGAGGATTGGCAGCAGATGTTAGCTCAGGGCTAATCTTCCTCCAAAGAAAAAAAAATATTTGTTCATTAATTTAGACAAGGACTGAGGATGTCCAAGGTCTTAACAGAGGACAAGCTCTTTGTGGGCAAAGACTGTGTCTATCTTCCTCTCTGAAAATAGAGACTGTGCATGGCAGGCACCAAGAAATACTTGCTGAGCCAATGGCTTTGGCTTTCCAAGGCTAGCCTGGGGCCGTTTCCCTTCCAGATGGATCCTTTGTCCTTGGACCTTGCCATGGAGCTTGGCTTTGGACCTCTCCCAGAGCCCTGCTCAGTGCCCACACCCTCCTTGGGCCTCACAGCGAACCAACGGTCGCTCTCAGCAGCAGATTCCCTATCTCACCCATGTCACCTCCTCACTCTCACCTACCAGAACCTCACCTCAGACTCAAGGTATTTGGAAAAGATTGAAATAAGCCAATATTAGCCTGAACTAAGAAGAGGATGGTAGCAGGTGTGGAACCACCAGAGCAGCAGTGACCATGGTCACATGACTACTTTGCACCAGGCACCGTGCTAATCACTGATCTTTTATCCTGTAAACTGCCATTATTATTATCCCTATTTTCAGTGACAAAGCTGAAGAGTACCTTGTCTGAGATCATATAACTGGCAAGACACAGTCAGGACTGAAACCCAAATTGGTCTGACTCCAAAGTTGCCAGGATTAGTTGCAGTTTTATGGTGGTCAGCGACTTTACTCCGAAGGAAGGTTAGGCCTGCAAAGATAAGGCAATGAAGCCGAGGAGACAGACGCATGGAAAACCGTTCCTCAGGTGCCTGTTCCGCCTCTGTGTCAATGGTCTCTGCTCCTTAGTCTTTCTTTCAGGCCCATCTTTTCTTCAAACACTTGTCCTTTATCCAGGTGCATTTCAGGTTAGCTTTCTGTAGTAGAACACATAACTAAAAATCTGCCTCACATTTCCAGATCCTGGATTCTAGGTTTGAGATAAGAAATACATTTCTCCTTATTTCCACCAAAAAAGAAAAAAGAAAAAGAAAAAGAAAGAAAGAAAAGAAAAGAAAAAAAAAAAAGAAGAATGAAAACACCATTTGAATTTCTGACCCTGTTTATTGAAATTAAAACTAGTGTTATCATGGGTCCCATGTACCTAGAGAAGTCCATGCAGCTGTTATCTGCAGAAACCATGGTATAGGAAAGCCAAACTCAACTAGACTTCCGCAAACGTGAGTTCAAGCTTTAGTGCTACCACTGCCGAGCTCAGGTGAAGAGTTCCTCTAGTAGCTTCGCCTCCCTGTAATAGATTCCTTGAGCTAAAATTTGTAAAAGCCTCCTACCAGCCTACGGGCAAAAGTGAGCCCTGAGTGAGCATGGATGGGACCACAACAATTAGATAAACAGCAGCAATCCATCTCTTCTTTATTAAAACACAGAGAAGCATTTGTGGAATCAGATGAGCGGCTTTAGCACACAGAAGCCCTATGGGACAGACCCAACCCAGTTGCTTCCTCTTCTTCATTTCCAGTAGAATCAGATTTACTGTAAAGATGCAAGTAAAGAATCAGTTCATTGCTGACAACTTTTGTCTCACATTCTTCCAATCAAGAGAGGGGTACACAGATGTGAGCTACGCTCTTCCTGCTCTGAACACATTCCAAGAGCCCTCCTGTAGGCCCCTCCCTGTACTGTCCTTTGGCCCAGCTGCTGAATCTCAAGTGTGTCCAGGATCCGTAGGATGAAAGCAATGCTAGATTTGATCTCTATCATAGTGGATTAGATTAACTCTTTGGCCAGAATAGCTCAGTCATTTCTCATCGACTGATTGACCAAAGGTGCTTTGGCAGTAAATGGCCATATTGTCTGATTCTATAAAGCAGGACTCATCATACCTGCTAAAGAATGAAGCTCCCTGAAACTGCATAGAAAATGAGGCCAGAAAGGGAAACTTTAGGGTCTAAGAATGTTTGACGCCCTCTTGCTGTCTCAGGAGATGACATGCCAGGTGCAGAAAGCCAGAGTGGTGAGGGCCTTGTACCAAGTGGAAAAGGCCATCTGGCTTCTCACCAGCTGTCCCTTCTAGCACCAGCTGTGGAGTTTCCATTCATACGATAACTCAGGATGCTAACAGGAAAAGAGCCTTAGAGGTCATCAATCCCACTCTCCTCTCGCTCATTTTCAGACGGGAGAACCCAGGCCAGAGAAGAGATTTCACCTAGCGAGGGAACAGCAGAGTCACATAGAGAAATCAGATCTCCAGATTCCCAATCCATTATTCCTCTCACCACATGATGCTGTGGTCCCCAGAAAACATGCACAAAGGATCATTTTCCAGAGAGAGGAAGTGGAGTTGTAATAATCAAGGGCAGAGACTCTAGACAGAGTGACTCAGTTCTAACCTCGCTCTAGATGTATAACTTGTGTGATCAGAGGTAAGGTACTTAACTGCTCTGTTCTCCAGTTTCCTCCCCACTTAAAAAATGCCAATGGTACATAGCTCATAGGGTTTTGTGAAGATTAAGTGAGTTGATATATGTTTATCATTTAGAGCCAAGCTTACCACAGAGAGCACGATATAGATATGTGTTATCATTAGCATCCTAAGCAAGCTGAGCAGCCTCTATGTCTACTGATTCACCCTCACTGTTTCCACAATTTGGAACACTCAACTCAGGCTGGACAGTGGTCGTTAACTCTGCCTGGTCAGCACCAAACATCTTATGGCACTGCCACACCATCAGAAATACTCATTTCTCTTTATGATTCTGCCTCCTTCTCTCTCCGTATCTTACCCTTTTATGCTTTGCCTTCCTAAAATACTTCTCTTCTCCTTGTTTTAGTTCTATCCAACCTTGTGCTGGTAGTATGACATCCACAGGAATGCTTAAGTCTACTGGTAGAACTCGGAATAAACTGACTCCTACACTAAGACCTCTGTCTGTCTGGAGTGGAGCTTATTAGAGCTTCAATTGCTCCTTAAGTTATTATAAACATAATGAATTAAACAAAAACACACACATACACCACATGCATGTATATACACTTATATATAACTAGTTTAATATGTATCATATATATATATATAAAACGCAAGATACTTTAAAGAAACATACGGGTCTTAACAAATCTGCATTGCTCATTTCCTTATAAACTCATTTAAATATCTAAATCATTCATCTTTTGCAGAAGACAATATAGAAAATTACCTTGAATTTCAACTTGGGCATTTTCCAACTCAGTGCATTCTGCAGGCCAGTATGATTCCTTAGGATAAACGTCTGGACTGATGGAAGCCCCAGAGTCAGGCTATTTTCTATAAACATTTATGGAACCTCCATGGGGATTGTAGCACGGGGATGGGGTCTGGATCCTGCCCTTGTTTATGAATCCTTTATAACAAAAATGCAGAGAAATATGAGCCAGACTCTCAAGCTATCACGTAAATATGAACTTTTAGTAAATAGGAAAATTGTGAACATTGTAAATCAGAGGCAGGAAAGGTGTCCGTGTTGCAGTCCCTGGAGTCAGAACATTGGATGCTCACTGCTGACGGGAGAGACCCATACTTCCCCAAGCACAAGGTCAGCATCAGACACTGATGCGTCACCCCCGGGACCTTGGAAGAGGTTAGGACAATAATCCCAACTCACGTGCTTTGTCTTCTTGAGGACAGCAGATGAAGGGAAAGGAATAGCACTTATGATTCTGTGGTCTGATTTCACAGCGGAATGAGAATGACTCACTGCAGCTGGGTGAAAGGGCCAGAGAGAGGGAAGAAGTAGGAGGTAAAGGAAGAGGTCCGTCAGGCCGAGTAGCTAGGTGACAGGCTGGACTGAGAATGCTGAGTCCTCTTTGTTGCCTTTGGGGAGGCACCGCTGACTACTGGGGTAAACCCAATCCCAGTCTTTAAAACTCTCCAGTATACTTACTCACTCCTCCTCAGCGACTTCAGGAGGAGCTTCCACAATGCCTAAGTCACACAAGACGAAAAGTCCGCCACATTGACACTTGGACTCCTGTTGCTCACAAAATGTTTATTTTCCTCTCTCCTTCCCCCTCCACCTACTTCTCTCCACTCCGTCTCTCTCCTCCCCCGTGTCTCTTATCCTTTCCCCTCTCATCCCTGTCTGCACTGGACACTGTTTCCAAGGATAGTGCACAATTAGAGGTGCTGCTTGTGAAGCAGCCAACAGTCCTGCCGTATCATTCACCCAGTCTGCTGCCTTAATGTTTCAGCCCATAGGCCTAGCTGACTGCCACTGCCTCCCTCTACCTCCTCAATTTTTCAAGCCCCAGTCTTGAAGAGCAGGCTGTAGCCGTCAAGGCATCTCAGTGATTTGCCCTTTTGAGTTTCTCAATACTCCCAATGGATACTTTCCCTGTATCCAGACTTGGAAGGGTCCGCGGTAGGAGGCGGAAGGTGGAGGAATGCTCACAGAGAAGCATGTCTGTTTATTTGCTTGTCAGGGATTAAGTATGGTACCCTTTGGGTGCATGCTAATGGGTCTGTCTCTCTTTCCCCTACACAGGGCCTGGAGCAGTCATTGATGGTGTAAACTCGGCCTCTAGAGCGCTGGCTTGTCTCTGGCTATCAGGGACCCTCTTTGCCCACTTCTTCATCAAGTTTTGATAAGAAACCATAGGTCCTCTGAGCAACGCCTGCTTCTCCATATCACAGACTTTAATCTACACTGCGGAGGGCAAACCAGTTTGGGCTTCTTTTTGTTTGTTTGTTTCTGTTCTTCTTCTTGATTTTTTAAATTTTTAGGTGTTTTGATTTGTTTATTTGATTTGTTTTTTCCAGTTTGAATGAGTGGGGTGGGGGGGAGGGGTGGGCAGGGTTCTACCATGTGTAGGATGATCATTCATTGGTGTGTCCAAAATAGAATCTGCTCCTGCTGCCTTGGCCCTTCCTTTTCCTCTGCTTCTCTCCCCATCATCATCACCAACAACCTCTCCTCCCACTATGTTCCAAACCATAAGCTCCATTTGGGAAAAAAAATGTGCCTCATGATAAACACTCTAAAGACACAACTTCACTTACAATGTAGTGCACAGCAAGAGTTATATCCAAGTGTCCTATTATCCGTGTCTTTTAAGGTATGGACCATTTTCCTGATTATAATGTACATATCCCTCCCTCCAAGTTTATTATTATCTAATTACATTAGGGGTCACATCCCCTCTTTCTGAGAACTTATCTCAATATATCCATATCCATATATATACATACATATAATCTTGCCATCTTCTGTAACCGCTCTGCCCTATGCACTTTCTCCACCAGCTACAGGGATTAGGAGTTTGGGGCTATGCACACAAACTAAAACTAAAAATTGAGAAGTCAAGGGACAAAAAAAAGGGGGAAGCATTTGGAGGATGGTACTTCTCTTTAAAAAATGCTGTCTAACACATAAAAAATGATGCATAGATGGCTGATTATTTACGTTTTATCAAGCTATCAAAGTAATCATATGGTTATCCATCTACTCAGTTGTCTGATTTACCTCTCCATCCAATTATCTACCCACCAGTCTTCCTCTCTAGCAATCTATTTACTCTATTTATCAATCTATCACTGTAATTATCTAATACTTTTTTCTGTTTCTTTCCCCACTACTCACTATCAATTCATCACCATATTAATTTCTAATCATACTGTATCTATTCCACTGTATTCATTTCTCCTCTACCTTCAGCAGACATTGCCATCTTCAAAATTACCTATCAACGTCTCATGTGAAAGCCAATGATCTCACAGGCTAACAACATAGAAAAGCAATATGTCGTGGACTCTTTGGAATGTGGTGTTCTATCCACCCAAAGTAGATGCTGTTAACTGATGGACCAAAGTAGCAATCTAAAGGTCAGTCACTCACTATTCCCGGAAGAGACTGTTTCCAAAAACATCTTCTTGGGAAGCAGATCAGCCCTGAAAAAGCCTTGAGCAGTACTGTGTTTCCTTCTTTCACACTCAAAGGGCCAACGTGTCAACCTTCATGCTTTTCTCAGCCTTTCAAGAAAGTGCATGTCAGGAACCTATGAGATTTACTCCATGGCTGACTTTTCTTAACAAGAAGAATGTAAGGAAAAAACCACACATCTCTCTCTGCAATGCGAAGGGAGTAATCCACTTGTCCGAGTGCAATGATTTCAGCTATTGTCTCCTCTCTGCTCCAGTTTTGGTTTAACCTGTTTGAAAAATATCCAGTACAAAGCTGATGGAAGCCAATTACATGGCGGGTGTGTTGACAACTCTGGTATTTGTTTCAGGAAGCTCTTCTGAGCTGAGGGTACTTGAGCAACTGACTTAATTTCCAAGCACTTGATTAATACAACACTGAAAACAGAAGGGGGAATGTGTGAGTGACACACAGTTTCCTCTGATACAGGCTGCTTTTCCAGGGGCTTTGGGGCTTTGTCCTCAGCTCTCCATGTTCAGAACAGATCCAGCATACAAACAAGAGCTGACCTGACCTTTCTGCATCATCTTCTGGGACAAGAAGGACTCAGCCTGCAAGGGTGCCTGTGATCCAAAAGAACGACATTGAAAACCACGCAGGTAGTGCCTCTCTCTGCCTCTGCTGCAGGGACTGATGGACTGAGAGGATGAGAAAGAAGCATCAGCAATGACTCTCTCACAGACCTGCCCGCCTCAGCTGGAAAACCCTTTCAGGTCCACAGTCTAAAAAATAATAAATATGAGCTCTATAGAGTTCCATTCTCTAGCACTTAATTGATCTTCTTCCTCCCATACAAGTGGCCTCTTTGTTTTTGTCCATTATGACACATGAACGTGACATACACAGTGAAATATATGCATAGATATATATACATAGATATATGAATATATGTGTACACATACAAACATAGACTGTCTTGGCAAACAAAAGGCTAGGCGCTTTCATAAGAGTTAGAGCTGGTGTGAGTGAAATTAATATTACATTTGCCAGCTGTAAACAGACATCTGCATCTCCTAGTGAGCTGCCAGGAGCCAGATTCTGGAAACATAAATGATGGGCCAAAAGCGGCATATCGATTCCAAGTTCCACCAACAGACACAAAGTCAAAATTAAAGGTTGGATGGCAATGTTTCAGAACCGTCACCACATTCAGCACGTGGAGTCGGGTTGGTGTCAGAAATTGTATGAGAATTAAATGTGTCATTTGAGTCTTCTACTGATAATAAATTTGTTACTTTGTAGTAAAATAAATGTAGAGGCTATGGGGAGTGGATGGTCTTAAAGAACACAGTGCTTGAAATGGACAAGCTGTACATGTTCTTCACTCCAAGACTGTTCTAGAGGAAGAAACCCATCCTCCTTTGGCCAGGAAGATCTCCAGCACCTTTCCAACACAATGAGGCTGGGTCTCAGTCACTAGGGCACTCTGTGCTGCCCTCCTCCACTGGATACCAGGAAGCACCTCTGGTGGTTACTTATTCCAGCCACGTTTCAGAGGAACACAATCCTACAGTCAATCCTCATCTGTCTGGGATAAAGGAAACCAAGTAAATAAGACCCAAGGACTGGGCACTGGGAAAGAACATGACTCTTGTTCACGACAGACATGCTCCAGCTGCTGTGTTGTTTGGGTTACGTGCTTGGGGGTGGCTCCATATGACAGTAGCTACTACTCAACATTTTGAAGTATATAGAACAGTAAATAGTGACTAAAGACAATATCCAGACTCACAAATGCTCTTTCAACTTTACATAAGGAGGGTGGATACATAAGGCCGGCTGGAAAGATTTTTTTCAAGGTGCCAATGGTTTGGTGGGGGCAGGGGTAAATTATGGAAAAATAAACAATCTCTGAGTAACCTATAGCTCTTGACGGGTTTTCCACATGAGAAGGAAACCAAACAAGGCTTATCAAGAGATTAGGCGACAGGAATTTAGCAACTTAGTTACTCTGAAACCCTTCCCCTTCCCAAAACAAAGTCCATATGTACTTCCACCAAAGTAATGCCAATGAAAGTGCTAGTGTTAAGGCCCTTGCCAAGCTCGTTTTTCAGTAGTTTAATGTCAAGTGCCTGATACAGTCATTTACAAGTCTAAGCAAGTGCGTTTAGTTTTTCTCATTCTTCTTTTAACTGGGGGAGGGAGGGCATATAGGGGAGTGGTGGTCAAAACATGCACGTATTTTATTCCCAGAGCATTGTGCATGGTTATTCTGCTGTAACTGTTACCAACTGAACAAAAGAAAAGGTAAGGCTTTGTATGTAAGAGAGGCTTGGACGTCTTTCCCCTGAAACTCATGCTTCATATTAGATGATACATTTCACAGGCGGAGTGGTTATTCTAGAGGGAAGTGTGCTCTGGGACTCCAGAAACTCCACAAACAAGGATGAGTTTAAGGATATGTTTCTGCATCAGTCCAGTCAACTTGCTCTCAACATGCAGGAGTCAGCAAGTTCTACCTACTCTGGAAGAACTCTCACGTGAAAAGAGTAGAGAACCTCAAAGCGGGCAGTTGATCCCAAAGAGAATTTATCGTGGAAATTGCGTTTAGGAGTGGCTGTAAACTGATTGCTCTAGTTTTGGTTGATTCTTCCAGTGCCATTGGGAATGTCTTCTCCTTTGTCGTTGTGCATGGATATCATCAGCCCCTTTAGCAGAAGGGGGCGAGAATGTCTGGAGATGAGGTGAGATATGGGCTCAGGGTCGTCTTTCCCAGTGTTACCCTGAGTCCTCACCAGAGAAAAACTGGCTTTGCAATACATGGAACAAGTTCTCTCCAAAATCCCCCCACCAAAAAAAAACCCCAATTTCTTTTCTTTTTTAAAAAAAGTGAAGTTCAATCTGTTTGGAATTAGGGGAAGCAGCATACAATTTTTCTTCTTGGCAAAATTCATTTTTTCTCTTTTTCTCAAACAATGAGAATCTTTTGTTTTCATTTTGCATAAGCCCTATTCCTGAAAACTTTACCCAGCCGCCTCCCTTCCTATTATCCAAAGCTTCCCTGTCTTCTTATTTAAAGACAAATAAGTTAGAGCAGCTGCAGCACAACTTCACAGGTGTGCAACTAGAAGGCAACGTTTTCTAAAAGTGACCAGAAGATGAGAACACCTAATGATCACTAAAAGCAAACAAATAAAATGCCAATCTCATTTCCCTCTTTTCTTGCTTAAGAGAAGAGAAGTAAATGGAAGGAGGAAGAAATAGATATGCAATTAAAAGATGTGGCAAAAAGATAGAGCTGAACCAGTGCAATTTAGCTGTCAGGTGCAGAGTACTCAGAGTCCAAAGGAACGTGGAGTGGACTTAATTAGACACAATTGTCTTCATCCTGAAAGTAGTCAGCTAAGCCTAATTTCCAGTGTTTTGAAAGAGATTCCTTTTTGTTTCTTTCAAAGGCACACAGTTCTTCCAGTTGTTCCATGCCACTGAATGCAGAAAGAAAGATTGTGAACCCTCTACTCTCCTTTTGGGGCCACATTCTACACTACTGGCAGAGTTATAAGAATATCAATAATAGAATGATAAGTAATAATAGCTGCCCTTGTGTTAGTTAAAGGGAGCATTTTTAATCATTCAGAAATTTTTGTGACATGTAAAGTGCAGTTGTGAGGAATGTGTGGGTATACGAAAATGTATCTGTCAAGTTCAGAGTCTTCTAGATTTAAAAAAAAATATATGACTTATCAATGGTGCCGTTATAGCTGTGTCAGACAATGGGTGTGCCCATTCTCACAATTATCCTTAAAATAAATCTATGTTCAAATGCTTTAAAAATTTATCACATGATACAAGAGTATAACTTTGTCAACCTTCTAGAGTTATTTTTTCTTTTATTTTCTTTCTTATTTTTTCCTTTAAAAATCAATGAAGACTTGATTTCTGTCTATAATTGTATTAAGGGTGAATATACTACCTGAATTTTGTGCATGTTACATTGTAGTTGTAACCTTTTCTAATTCAGGATGAATACGAGATGGTTGTGATTGTGCAGTGTATCAATAAAGTTCAAAGAAATTTGTAACTTTTGGGGGGCTGTTTATTAGGACATCCCATGAGTATGCAGGAATGGAGAAAAGTGAAGGAGGCTATGCTTCTCCCATGTGTGTGTTTTAGGCTTTGGGGAGTAGATGCAATCAGAAAACTGAGTAGCCTATTTCTCTCTCTCTCTCCCTCTCTCTCTCACACACACATGTACATACACACTATATGAAGGTAGAAGGCAGTCTAAGCATTTTCCATTTTACACAAGTATATCAAATATCTATGCCATTTATAAATAGTGTAAAGTGCAGTTGCAACTTCAAAGTCTAAATTATTTATTGACCTAGGCTAAAATGAATTTGGAAGGGAAGTTTCAGAAAAATAAGGAGCAGATACTGCTCATTTTGAGCACTCTACTCCTGAACAGTTCCTGTGGTTTGATTCCAGTGAATTAAGCACCACTTTGACAAGAGTAAGTATGAGAAGATATGGTGCCTATGATGTACATACATACTTAAAAGCATAGGGATTAATTGTCTCAATCTTAGATTTTAATGTAGTATACATATGAATAATAACATGAGAAAGAGACCTGGAAAAGAAGTTCCATTGACCTGATTGCCTTTTCTAAAATGCCTTTCTCTTTCAATCAAACTCTAACTCCTCTACTTTCATCACACATTCTCTTCTGAAGGAATGGACATTACCCTCTTTCTTACAACTCAGCTTCTCATCAAGCATTTATACATCAATTAGTGCTTCCTAGTTCTGCCTTTAACTGGATAGGTGATATTGGACTAGGCACTTGAACTTGCTAGTCTTTGTTTCCTCATCTGTACCATTTGTGAATTTATACCCCTCATATTCTAGTTCAAAATTCTCTGGACGGTTTTGATTTCTCTTTCAACTATTAGGTTTTTCATGACTTACCCTGAATAAAGCTTTGGGCCAGTGGCTAATTATGGTTTGGGAATTTGCAGAAAGTGGGTTAAGATTTTTCAGTTAATTTGAGAGCATGGCTAGCTTCTCCGGCCAAAGACCCTGAGTTGGACTTGGGAAGTTTGTTTCTTGTTGGCTTCCTAGGAAGACAAGGGCTAATTCTCGACCTTTTATGACTTAGTCTCCCCCACAGGGGATGGAACACAGATGACTTGATAGACTAGATCATGTTCCTTGTAGATTAAAATACCAGGGAAATGGTAGGTACCAATGATTGAGAGTTTCCAATTTCCTCAGACTGTTAGTAAAATCATGACTTGTTGATGAAAGGAATTTCCAGTTCCTCTAACCATCTTAATACCTTTAGAGCTCTCTTTTCCCCTCTTTTTACTTCTTCCTTTTAATATTCTCTTCTCATCCACACCTGATCTTTTCCTGTTCCTGTCCATACCACATCATTTACTCATCTATCTACTTTCCTGCTGGCATAGACATTTATCAGTCTTTCACTTCGTCTAGCCACTCAGCTCCATCAATCATCAATGTATCCATTTATTCCTCCATCAGCTAACCACTCACCTATTCATTCACATATTATTTCCCCATTTATCTGACCCATGTTCCATCTATACACTCACACACCTCCCTAATATGACCATTCCCTATCTATTTATTTAAACCATCTATCCATCCCTCACTTGTCAATCCATCCACCAAGCATCCTCCAGCTAGCCTTTTGCACACATACTTATTTACCAACCCACTTCAAGGTAATGAAAATCTTTGCTGTTATCTCTCCATTCTGCAAGAGAGGATTTATCTAGTTATTCTTATGTATAGCAGCTAAACAATTGATGCATTTTTGTTCTCCTCACCCAAAATACACCCTATTAAAAACATATACATAGAGAAGTGCTTCAGGAAATATATTAAGGGCATATTTGTTCCTAGTATGATGTATTACAATAAGAAGAAGATGGGGAACTGGGAGTGGAGTGGAAATACCCAGATAAGCAGATGCCCATGTTTAACTTTCTAACACTGGGAACGCAGTCATGCAATGAACATAACAAATGACTGAAGGAACAGATAGGAGAGACCTCAACTGGCAACTGCTCTTTCTTTTCTGTTTGATTTTCTCTTGAATAGATTATTTATTTTGATGAAAACTAGGGGATGAGACTAATTGGTACCAAATCCTATGATCAGTTTTGAAATCCAAAACCCTCAGGCTACAAACGATACTACCTTCCTTTAACATGTTCATTTGCTCATTAGGAAATCTTTTTTTCTTTAATTTTTTCCATTTATTCATTTATTCATGCATTACATTTAGTGAGGAACTCCCCTTAAGGAGCTCACATCCAAGTTGTGAAAACAGCTGTATAAAAAGAAAAATTACAGCATAATATTGCAAATGTTATGATAGAGATATGCGAAAGTGACTGCAGAGGGAGCAATATTGGGAGATGATTAGGAAGCTTCTTTGTCCCCCCCAAGGATGAAAAGCTGGGATGTAGAGCTAATATAGACAGTGGACATGGTGAACAGACATTACTGCAAAAATAAATGGGGTACTGGGACCATGGCACCTTTCAGTTTTCAGATATTCATTGAAGAATGAATAAATATCTGTTGGATGAATAAGTACCATTCATTCCACTTTCCAAGGAGTTAAAACTATAAATGTTTTATAGGGGTTAAAGGAGTTAAAACTATAAATGTCCAAAGGGTCACACTATGCAATTGGTGGCAAAGCTGACACAAGATCTTCCGGAGAGGGAGATGTACCATCTAGAATGTCAAATCTGGTTAGAATATAAAGTTTCATTCCCACGTGGGATTATAGAGCATATTATCTTTCGCTGGATCTCAAAGCTCCAAGAGTCTTTCTGATGGGGTATGTCATCCAATGAGGGAAAGAGAAAACAATGAGTGGGAGCTTGGGCATATCAGAGACTGAAGGTGAGAGGCAGAGATTAAGTGTGGACTTGCTGAAGAGAACCCAAGTTTCTCCAGATAAGAGTGGCCTAAAACTCTGGAATTTAGGATGAACTACTTGGCTTATTTGCATTTAAGTGCTTCCCAACAGCATCTCTTACTTCAAAAATAAGAATATTTACAGTTTTTATCTCTCCGTTATTTGCTATGTCCTGTAAGACATATTTCCTTTTATTTAAAGTCCTCCAACCTAGTATTTTCTCCTCAGAGACAAAGTGTGATGTGTGTGTGATACAGGGGGAAATTGTTTTTAAATTCTGGCCTCACAAGTTGCAAGTTACCTTGGACCAATTTCTTCCGTCTCTGAACTTCCATCTCGTCTTTGTTAATACAGTGGTAATAATAAATGCCTCAGGAGACTGCCTGTGGGAGTTGTTAGGGTGACTGGGGGGTGGGGTTATTGAACGTAATATGTGGTACATGTTAGTTGCAAAATAAACATTAGTTTTGTTCTCCTTCTTCCCTCAGCCTTCCCTCAGTGTCCTTCCTTTCCTGAGCTTCTGTATGATACAATCTCAATTGTGTTTGCTTCTTTCAAAAAAGGAAAAATTGCATATATTTTTTATTGAAGTTTAAAAAGGGGAAACCAATCTCTGACTGTTAGATTATTCAAGGATGCAAGCTTGGAAAGTGGGAAGATATTGAGAAGAAATTCAAAGAAATATTGAAAAAATAAAGAAAATAGAACCTAATTTTCAATCTAATAAACTTTTATTAGATAGCTAATATATGACAAGTGCTGAGGATATGAACCTGAGTGTCTACCTTCAAGAAAATCCTAGTCCGGGGAGGATTGAAAATTCCAGCATAACATGGTAGTGTTTAAGGGTCAGAGGAGCCCGGTAGAGGGCACCTAACCAGAGAGCAGGGCTCAAGACACACTTTCCGAAGATGAGATGTGAGCTGAGTCTTGAAGAAGAAGAAACCAGCTAGGAAAAGAGAGGGAAGGGAGCAAGTGAGTAAGGGAGACGCTCGTCCTTGATGAATCCATACAGGCACGAGAAGCATAGCAAGGCCAAGGAACTACAAGTGCAGATTATCCCAAGAGGGGTGAGGGCGGGGGCGGCATGGCAGGAGACAAGGCGGAAGGGGTAGGCAAGGGCAAGATCCTTAAAAACTTTACAAGAAATGCTGAGATATTGGGATTTGTCCTAAAAGAGGTAGGGGAGACATGGAAGCATGTAATCAGTAGAGTGGCTAGATTGGGTTTGCAGTGTAGAAAGATCACCATGGCAGGAGGGCAGATTAGTGGGCGTTGGTCAAACTGGTAAGGGAGAATCACGTTGGGACAATTGAAATAATTCAGGTGAGAAATGATGAAGTGTAATAAGAAGTAGCAGGAAAATTGGGATGATTTTTAGAAGGTAGATCAAATGGGAAGGGCTGGATGTATGGAGTCATAGACAATGTGAAATATGGGGAATATTCCAGGTTTTCAATTTAGCCAGCTGGGTGGAAGATGGTACCATTCTATGATTTTGACAACTTAGGAGGATGATGAGGTTCCATACAGTTTTTGAAATATCCAGTTTCAAGCATCCTTAGAACGTCCAGGTGGAGAAGTTTAAGCACCATCAGCATTTCCTGAGTCATCTAATCATATCCATCATCATCTACAAGGGATGCATGATTTCCTTCCTCTGCCTCTCACTTTACTTCCATAGGAACTCTAGCTCTTTGGATCATCTGCAATTCATTTCTCATCCTCCATTTCCTCTGTATTTTGATTTTGTCTTAGAAAGGTACTGTTTTTATTGCTGCTTCTGATGGAAGGGTAGAGAGCAGATCTCTGATTAGTCAGGAAGTAATGGAAGATTTAAATGGGGAATGGGGAAACTGCACAGCTGTCCCACCACCCAGGTGAGATTTAGCCATTCTTAGGTCCAATACAAAGCGCCAAACCATAATTCACCCAGTGATGAGGGAATAGCCAGGCACTGAGAGTGTTTAAAAGTGTTTTATTACAACTCATCTGTTTTGTTACAGTGAGGCAAGTCCTTTGATGCTCACTTGCTTGTGAACAAATTTCAGAAAGTTTCTTAAGATTCCAAACCTCATCAGAGAGTGACCTCTGACTAAGAGGAATACATTCCATTTGAATGACTCAAGAATATAGATAGACTTCTCGCTCTGTTCAGATTTCTCACAATGATCCCAGAGGGGCCCTCCTAAAACGAGGAGAGGCTGAATCTCAGTGGGAAGCCATGGTATCTTGCTGCATCTCATGACAAGATGATTGTCCAGGTGGCTCTCTCAGTGTGTCAGCACAGAGCCGTGGGAGTCTGAGCCCGTGGGTGTGTGTGTACTTCTGTGAGGTGAGGCAACAGGATCTGCAAGTGGGAGAGAACTAAGGTGAAGTCCTGATTCTGCCATTTACTAGGTGTGTGCCTGTGAGCTTACAGCATAATGTCTTACAGCCTCAGTTTACTCATCTGCAAATAGTCTCAGTAACTATGCCATGACACTGCCGTGAGGTGCATACAAAAAGATGTAATGGAAAAGTACCTGGCAAGCTCCTGGCCTATAGATGATTGGCACAGAGAGGTAGCCGATAAATGAATTTGTTTTCTTGACCCTTTGCTCTGTCTTCTCCTTCTTCCAAACCACCCCCACACCAACCACACATGATGGTCTAGAATAGTGTGAGGGACGGCTCTGCTTAAATGTTATATTTTCAGATTTGTTGTTAGGATCACATGAAATGAAATGTGCAGAGTGCCTAGAAAAGTGCCCACCTCCTAAGTGTTAAATAATACGCACTTCCTCTTCCCTTTTCCCTAGGGCTCCATCCGGTCACTGGAGTACAGATAAGCAAACCAACGCTGGATGCATAGAGGATGTGCCCAGACCCTGCAGCGTGTGTAGGTGCTGTCTGGGCTGGCTGTGCTCGCGGATTAAGGCAGACTGGGCTCTACCCATGGAGCCTGTTTCTTTTGCTCTTGGTCTTGTTCCCTGCATGGTGGATTTGCAAGGACGGTTGCTCTGGTTACAAGACCAAATCACTTCAGTTTCTGTCTCTTCGTCAGTAAAGGTCTCAGGGGAATTAGCTTATTAGAGAAATAGTAGCTGCATGCTTGAGCTGGCTAGGACAGTAAAGGGACTCATCAGAGGTCCTCAGTTACAAAGGCACCGGTTCTTCTCTTGATGAAGCCAGGGTCTCAGTCTCAGTGCTGCAGCAGGCAGCGTGGACAACCCATTTGTGATTTCTCCGTCTCCTATTTTCCACCTTGTGTGATGGTGACTCCAGTGCCTGAGTCAGTCTGCTTGTTTGAATGAGTCCTCTTTGATGTCGATTCCTTGTTGAGTTCCTCACAGAATCCTCTATTGTCCCTGCCTTGCTCTCTCCTGTACTGATCTCTGTTCCGTGGGCAGTTCCAGCACTCTTCAACGTGCCCCTCTCTCTCCTCTTAATTCTCGAGAACCTTAAGAAACTTGAAACTGCTGAGGAGGAGAGTAAGACAAGAAGTGGAAGGTGCCATGGGAGTGAAGAATGCTGTCTTGTGAATATGCTTTTTGTCTTAGCACAGTGAAGCCCACAGGTGAATGTTATATTTTTGCAGACCCATTCCTTGCACACTGTGTTATGACAATAGCAGTGTGTGTACAGGGAGAGAAGGCAGGCACAAGGGAGATCAGAGAGAGGGCCAAAAGCTGCTAACACTTATGTGTTTATTGAAATCACACATGGAGCTAGGAGCTTTCACATGTACTAATTCATATAATATTCAGAACACCCTCAGGAATGGTGTGTTACCCTCATTGAGACTCAGAGGCACGCTGCTAGAGACGAGCAGTGTTGGGAAGCCACCACAGGTCTGTCTGAGTCCGCACTGCATGCTCTTTCCAGTTCAGCCAAATTGCCCTCTGTTCCCAGGGTTGGCCCCATGTTGCAAAACATATTGGGTTCTATTTACTGAACACAGGAGCAGGTCACTTAAGTCTCTTGTAAGTCTGCTTTCTTTGTGAGCTTTCAGAAAAGAAGGCAGGGGCTTCCATCTCTTGGGCAAAAATGGCACCATGTCCCAAGACCTTCTCTTGGCTCCAAGGGTCAAGTCTAGGAAATGCCTGTGCTCTTCAGCACTGACACTTTTAACTTTCCTATTGAGGAAAAAGCCCCCGATAGTGTTGCCCTGTGGGTGTCTGACCCTAAATTGTGCACCAGTCTGTGAACTTCAGAGAAGCAATATGTAGGAGGGAATCGTCAACCCTACAAAGAACTGAGGAGAGAGAAGAATTTAATTCCAGGCTTCAAGCACACAAGAGAGCATCATATGAGTAAAAGGGAATAGCTTTGCTTTGTTTTCTTGTTTGCATAAAACAAGAGATATCAAGAAAAATCACGGCTTAAGAAGATAGATTATGGACTGTGAAATACAGACTATATTCAATCAAACATCACTCCATTCAGGCAAATGGGAACCATTGACCTTAAATGTATATGTCTATGCAAAAATCTCTCCTTTTCTCCATCTACTCATCTGCCTATCATCTATCCTCTGTAGGATACCCTATAGGGTACCCCCCTCCACCATGCCTAACTCAATGACAGCATGTCGTTTGTGCTTCCTGTTTCGCAAACACCTGCAACGGTGCCTGGTACATGGTAAAGTTCAGTATCTATTGAAAGAATGAATCTATGGCTTTGAGCTTAGGCATGATGCGAGCAAAATTTTCATTTGAGCAGAGGCCTTGTAGACATACACTGGACAGAGTGAAAGGGAGAAAGTCATCACAAGGAGGGCAGGAAACGGGGGAGGAAGAGAGCTCTGCGTGAGCCGTGTCTGTGATCCTGAGTGTCTGCTGTGGGAGGTGGTCATGGGTTGGAAAGGATGAGGTAGATATGAGAGATACTGAGGAGGGAGAATCCAGGTGTGTGCCTACTTCCTTTGCCTGAAAGCAAGCAGGCCTGAGTAGAACAGGTAGTCTACTGTAATCACGTTTTTTTTGCTTGTTTGTTTGTTTCTCTTCGGTAGTAATACTAATCTCATAGTTTCATAAGTCTTCATGTTTTAAGAAGCTTAAGCTTCACCATGCATATTTTTCAGACAAAGCGTCTACAACGCAGAGGCCAATGACTTGTCCTAGGTCTCACAGCTAGTCAGCACCCGGGGGAGAACTGGTGTCCAGGTATCCTGGCTGCTAGTCCTTTGCTTTCCTGATCCTGATCTGCTTCTGCTTCTGCTCTCACTCTAGAACCAGTGTCTTTGCACCCTACCTCCTGCTCTGAGGAAGTCAAACTTCCATTTTCTCACCATATTTGTCCCCGAAAGGGCAACGTATGCCCCACCCTCATTTCCATCCTGCTTACATTGCACCTTCGTATCTTAATTAAAGGACGGAGAACTCAGCAGGAGTAAAACATTACACTGACCTCACTTCCCATCAACTATCTTGAATAAAGACTGAAAAGGGTAATGCGATGAACAGGTGGATTAGATCTAGGCCTTTGGACAGTGGATTCCCAACGTCCCTGGCCCCCTTTATAAGAGCGTCTACTATGTACCAGCACTGTACTGAGTCCAAAAGTGTCTAGTGGTATTAAATATGCTCCCTGCCTCTGGGAGCATAGGGTAGACTTAAGAGGACAACACACACACACACAAATTCATATAATTAAAATGCTAAATGGTGACATGCATTCCTTAGAGGTCACCTCCCACTGGGAGAAACTTTGGAGGCTGATTAAATCACCGAGATTACTTTAGATGCACAAATGCATCCCTTTCCTATACACGTGCTTTCCCCACTCTGGTCAAGTTCAGAGCAAGCTACCTTAGGGAGTAAAGCTGAGAAAGAGGCCGTATCTCCCTCCCTCCTCCACCCAGCCCAACCATAGGCACCCAGGGGTCTATTGTTTTCTCCTGATAAACAATAAACACCACAGAAGAGAGAGAGGCCCAGATACTGGGGTGGCTGGGCACTCAGCTGCCTCTGTCGTCAACGCCACATCAGTAAACAGCACCATAGCAATCAATTTGGCTTTTTTGATGAAGACGAAAGCATAGAGGAAAACCATTAGAAGAGGTAATAAAGGCCCTTCTTGTACAGTTAATAGAGAGCCTCCTGGATGGAACAAGCCCAGCTGTTGCTGCTGAAAATTTGCTTCTGTTTCCAAGTTCAAATAGAGACTAAAACATTGTCTTCGCGGGAATTGATTTTACGTCTTCCAAACACATATGCCACCTTAATTGTGATTTGTGTGATAGTTCAGCTGCTGAAAGCTTTCGTTTATCTCTACCTGGTTAAACAACTTTAAATAATAACAAGTCAATATATCTGTCTATTGACCAGGGTTCTTCTTGCATCTTCCCAGCTTACCGTTGAGGAAGAGAAAGGGGTTTAACCCTTCAGTGCCCCTGTCCCTGTCCCACAGCCATTTCCTTAGTCTTGAATTTAATGGGGACATATAATCTTTTAAAAAGTAAAGTGAATAGAAATATGCAGGTCCTTGTCTGATGTGTTTTCTCCTGTAGAGGCTGTTTTTGTTTTGTTTCATTTTAGCCTCAATACATTCTTCGAGGGAAAAAGTCTGATTTTTGTCAAATTCTTCTGCACTAAATTTCCTCATTCCTTTAGTTACAGAAACTTTGCTTTTGGATTGAGCTTGAGAAAAGGATATTAAAGATGACTGCTTGTTTTGGAAAAGCCACATAAACAAAAAGCGTGTGAGCTCCCATGTGTTTCTTAAGACGTACTTTGTTCATAGTGCTTAATGTTATATAAAGCGGGGTGGGCAGGGCAAAGGGGATTATTTTATTCTCATGAACTTAAGGCTAGAGTTCTTTGAAGAGTGAAGATTTCTGTGGTAATGGTGGAGATGGGGAGAAGTTTAGGCTTGTTCGTTTGTTTTTTGATAACCCAAATCATTGTCAGCCAATAGGAAGCCAAGGATGGAGCAGGCCTCCAGAGCTCATCCGGCAGTGCCCTGTCCTTGAAGACCTGCCCGTGAGGCAGAATGTACCTAGCCAGCAAGTGGCCATCCTCCTCGGCAAGAGCCATCAGACTCTCTTCTGACCAGTGGGGTGTGCTCCTTCTGTGAACTTTCTCTTGGTGTCAAGGGTTGGTAATGCAGACATGAGTTGAGCTCTGTCTCTCCCTGGGCTGCCCCAACATTTAACCAGATGGCAAGGAGAGGGACTGCCTGAATCCCCAGCTTTCAGTGAACCAGTTACCCCACCCTGACTCCTTCACCCAGTGTTGGCTTGGCTTCTGTAACAGAGCCAAACACGACAGGCTGCCAAGAGGATTCATGTGCATGTGGGCTGCTGGGTAAAACTGCCTGGTGTCAGCAGAGTGCGAGGGCATGGAGAGGGCCAGCACGTGGTTATGCTGCTGGGAGAAAGGAAGGTAGACCACACAAAACCCTCCATCCTTGCCTAGGCTGCCATGGGGATGGAGGCAGAGGGAGCTGCTTGTGTCATGAGTTCAGGATTCATTCACATGTTAAGGAGTTTTTTCAAATTTTCACAAACTCTCTTTTAGAGCTTTGTTTTCCAGTTGCTATAAGCCCAGTCCAGACCTCCATTTACAACGCCTTTCTCCATGTTGTGTGCTCACTTTCTTTCTCCCTCCCACTTCTCCCAGAAGGCCCTGTAGACAGAGAATAAACAACAATATTAATAATAATAATAATTCTTACAAAAGATTGCTTATAAACAGTGAGCTGTGAAGATGGGAAGATGTCATTAACTGCTAATTAAGAAAACACTTCTGTTGGGTTTGTGTTCACCTGATAAAGAACCTTTCTTGACTCCTGTTTGTTCTCCCTTTGTTTTCCTCCAGGGCATGGACTATGTATTAATTATCCACTTATCTGCAGCTGTGAATGACTGACTGACTGAATGAATGAATCTATTTATTAATTTTTTTATTCCATGGCCTGCTTCACTGGGTGTATAAACTTCCTCCTTCAATGTTGATATTGAAGTGACATCTGTAGCAAGAGTTTCTAGATGCCATCATGAAAGGGACTCTGTCCCCAGTGTTATGGTACCCTGTGTCCATTATACTCACCTGTCTATACTTGTGATAGTGTATTGTGTGTTTGCATAGACAACACTGTAACAATAAAAGCTGTCCATTGCCACCTTCCCAATGCTCTATCAAATGAACTCTTCTTATGTTTTTTATTTTCTATTTCTCTCCAATTCTTGTCCTCATACATAGGTAGTTCTACAGAGATGTAAGCATAACAAAGATATAATTCTATATTACAGTTACTAAGATGCAAGTAGGTATCTTCTCCAGATTATTAGTTTGCCTGGGGCAGGGGAAGTACTTCACTTGGCATATAATAGTCGCTAAATAAATACATACATGTCCATTGAATTGAACTAGGAAGAGAAGTGCCGCTCCCCTTCTGGATCAGAGCTCAATATTCTCACGTGGAATTGAAGGCTGCAGCCAGAGAAACGTCAGGACGTGTCTCCTTCATTTTCTAATCTAAATAAACTGTCTAACCCATTAAAGCAGGAAAATTCTTTCCGACTGATTGCAAGGGAAAGGAGAGAATGAGGAGCAGTGAGGGAGAGGAGGTGAGCAATACCACTGTCCCACAGAGCCCAGGAAGGGCCCGGGAGAGGCAGTGAGCACTTGATATCCACATCATCTCCAATACAATTCAGCGCTTATTTTGCAGAAGGAGAAACTGAAATCCAGAGGAAAAATTGCCCAACAAAACAAAGCTAGGCACAAACACTGACATCTCAAGCACACACTGTCTTCCTCCCAGCCCGGGGGGCTCTTTCACCTGGACTGGCCTTGCACAGAGCCTGGGCCCCCAGTGCAAACCCTGTTTCTCCCCTGGAGGGCTTTTCCAGCTCCGCCTTGTCCACAGCACACCCATGGAAGAGCATGCCCAGGCCGGAGGCTCTCACTGCTGGGGGTAGCTGAGAAGGGCAGGTCTCCCTCTGGGCTGGAAGACTTGCTTAGCTATTTGTTACTCAGACTGAAGGAGCTGTTTCAAAATTTGGGTTTGGGGCAGTCAGCCTTGAAATGCATGCTGCTGGTGAAGGGCACAGGTAGCTGCAGTGCCACCACCGATGCCCCGTAAGCTTCTCAGTTCTTCCTTTGTGCACAGGGGGGCACTAGCAATACACCAGCGGCAGCCCAGCAACCTCAGCTCTGCAGCTGCTGGGGAAGGACTTAATTACACCCACTTCCAAGTGAGCAGAGCCTGCTCTTCAGTGAGCCAGTTCTGCATTGCAGACCTGCTGGCTGTGCTGGCTCAAATGTCACCTCCCTTAGGAAGCCTGGCCTCCTCTGATTAACCCCACTTACCCGGGATCACTCCCAATCCCCATGTCTCCCCAGCGTGTTGGTCAGTTGGCCCTTTACCTTTACATGCTGCTTTTTAACGGATCTCTAGGTAGTTCTCTTTGTCTTCTCTTATTTTAAGTTCCCTTTGTGCAAAGGCCATGTTTTCTCCTGGTAGTCCTGATAAAGGCCTGTGTCCGTGGAGGGGCAATCAGTAAATTTGGTGTGGGGGGAGCACTCTGAACTTGGACCCACAAGACATGTGCTCACATCCATACGCTGTCCATTGCCATGTAACCTCAGGCAAGTCCTTTTACCTCTCTGAGCCTCAGTTTCCTTATCTGTGGTAGTAGCAATAATCATTGCTATGCCATAGGGTTGTTTGAGATTAATGAATGCAAATAATGTGTGAGCAACTGGCATGGTGCCTGAGCACAGAGGGCACTCTGTAACTGTCTCCCAGATCTGAGTGATGTCGGATCTACTCCCTCACTCTGCACTGGAGATGGCTTGTGGTTTCTGTGCCATTTATTTATAGCCAGCCCTGTGCTGGGCACTGGGTAAGAGCCCTAAAGAAGACACAGTTCCTGTTCTCAAGAAGCCCAGTGAGGGCAACTGGAACAGGGGCAAATAAATGTAAAGTGATGGTGCTGAGGTCGGGATGCCAGGAGAACACATTGGAGGGGCTTATCTCACCTTGAAGAGGGAACAAGAGTAGGAAAGAAAGTTTTAACTACCTCTTTTCCCAGGATAGGAAGCAATCGAGATGCAGGTAAGGAACGTGTGGAGACCCTCTTCTGCTGTTTTCAAACCCCACCCTCAGCACCCCAAGAATGCTCCTGACAATGGAAGTAAGACAAAGACGCCAGTGTTGGCCTTGTTGCTGCACCTCTGAGCTATGTTGTTGAGGTGCTGTCTTATATCAGTAAAAGGGGACAGCCCTTCCACCTACGGGCTGTCGAAAATATTTCAGTGAGATACATATGTTGATATGCTTGGCTCATCGTTGAAAATAAATGCTTGTTAGTTTTCGTGCCATTCCCTGAGGTTGACCAAAGCTCACAGTTCTAGTGTCTCCTTGGATTTTCCCTTCTTAGATGTACCCCACAGTTCAACTTGCCTCCAGTATTCTTCTAGACTCCTCACACACACTGCAGTCAAGAGTTTTTACTTCAGTCCTGAGAACTGGAGCACAGGAAAGGCGACAGGGTTGGTTTAGAGAAGATCCTCAGCAGGGTCTGTACATGACCAGCATTTGCTTTCAGGGCCTATTTTCATTTTAGAAAGACGAGTTCTGCTAGTAGTTCTTGTGACTCTACAAGGGGTGGAATGTACTCAGAGATCAAACTGGGTTGGAAGTTTGGGGTCTTCCACCACCCTTTAGATTAAAGTCCTAGACCACCCAATTCGCCACTATTTTTCCCATCATCAGAAGAAAGTGGATCGATTGTTTGGAACCTTGCATCTACAAGGTATCTTGCATAGTCTTTATGCTGAATCTCAAGAAACTTTAATGCATTTGTGGGCAAACTTCTGTCCTTTCTCTGACCGCTTTTTCTTTAGGGAACACTCCTGTTGTGCTTAATTTTGAAGAGAAAACAGCACTTAGTTAGACTCCAACTTGACATAAGTGACCTCTAACAATTTCTTTTTTACCCGAATGAACTTTTTAGTTTATTGAACTTTGTGCAACTCCACCCTTCTTTTTATGTGACCCCTGTACACCACGGTCTTACCCTCCCACCTCCCCAAATTTAGGAAATATACTCTTCTTGCACAAAATGCTTTATTTTGAGAGATTTTTGTTGACCTTTGGTTGACCCCAGTGAACTGGAAAAGAATGTGTTGATCTCTGTCTGACCCCATTCCTCAGGATCCATGTGCTCTTTATGCTTCTGGAGTCACTGAAGAAGGAGAGCATGGCATAAGTTTGCAGTTTCATTCCATCAGCCATTCATACTATCTTGAACTGTTTAATTCCAAAGTAAATGTGGTTGCCTAAAAATCATTTGAGCTATGAAGAGTTGGGAGTGCCAAAGGCAGTTCCATCATCTTCCTTGTACTCAATCTTCTCCCTAGAATTTCACATGGAACAGAATAATCTAAAAACTATCATCTCTCTGATGTGCATTTCCAATTCTCTTTCCTCTGTATACAGTTCCTCTGTCTATCAGTTCTCCTGGTCTTGGCTTACATGCTTTCTATCATTTCTGCTTCTCCCTCTGAAGTTGTTCCTGTAGGGTGCTGAGAGAAGAGGGACAGATTTTCCTGTTTGTAATTATCATCACCATTTGTAGTAGGCTGAAAAATGGTCCCCTAAAAGATATCCACATTACAATCCCTGCAATCTGTGTCTACCCTTATATATATATATTTTTAAAAAATGCGGAGGAGGGTCTTTTCAGATATGATTTAGTAGTTAAGGATCCGGAGATGGGAGGCTATCCTGGATTATCCAGCAGGCCCTAAATGCCATTAGGTATGTCTTCATAAGTGAGAGGCAGAGGAATATTTGTCACACAGAGAGAAGATGATATGAAGACAGAATGGAGAGAAATTTCAAGATCTTGGCTTTGAAGATTAGAGTGATACAACTACTAGCCAAGGAATGCTGACAGCCACCAGAAGTTCAAAGAGACAAGGAACGAATTGGATTTTCCTCTAGAGTCTCTGCAAGGACCTGACACCTTGATTTCAGCCAAGGGATGCTAATCTCTCACTTCTGGCCTCCAAAATCATAAGAGATAAACATATGTTGTTTTACATGACTAAGTTTGTGATAATTTGTTATAGAAACCCCAGGAAATGAATACACCACCTATTACTTCTTTTCAGGCAAGTGGACGTGTTTCTCAATGCTAATTTCCTCTTTAGAGTCTCCCCATGTTCTCCCACGATACACTGCATTTTTAACACCACTACTACCACCATTGTGAACCTCTGAGCCTGTGATGTCATCCAAGGCATTTTTAAATGAAATTAGAGATTTCCAGCGCAGACTATACTGAACTATTATGGGAAGCCAGCTTCCACTTCAAACACATAAAACCACAACATAAAATATTCTTGAGAGAAATCAATTATGTAACCAAATCTGGAAACAAAAAGGGACTAACTCCACTTTCCAGAAGAAAGATGGAGCATCCAGTGGAAAGAAGATGCTGAGACCATAGGATCTCTAAAGGAAAATGGGCAAGACACATGCCATAGGGGCCTTAATGGCTATATGGCATGGACATTAGCTGCCAGTCCTGCGTGTGGGGGACAGCTGAAATATGCTTCCTGGATAAATCTAGGAGGCTGGAAAATGTGGCTCCTCAGCAAAAACTTCACTCCCTGGTCTGAAGAAAGCAGGGAAGCAATTCCCCTGTCTAGACCACAGAGCAGAGATATTATTCAACTGCAAGAAAGCAGAAGGCCCAGTTAGAACTGCTCTAAGATGTAAGACCCAAATGTTTTTATTAAATAAAATTGGTCTGGAACCTGCAAAATTAGTAACAATTTGACAGAGGCAACTAAGAAATCACATCTTATGGATGCTTCTATAATCTGCAGATCACGAAGAACCCCCACAGAAGAAATCATCTGGAAAAATAAGGTCATAATCCAAAACATGAAAATATACATGGAAATCCAACTTTGGAATATTTAAAGTAAAAAACACAACAATTATGAGAAAACTAAAATTCCTGGAGTAAGAAGACGTTATAAGCACACAAAAAAGAACAAGTGGTTTAAATAAATAAATAAATAAGTCTAAATATGAATGTATGTGTGAATATTAATGGTAAAGAACCATAGAGTCATTTCATTTAGTCATCTATTCATTCAGCAA